GGTGTATATAATCATGTATCTCTCCCGCCTGCGTTCCAGGGAATACAGGTTTAGGAACCTCAAGCGCTCCCAGTAATTGAGGTGTTTTATCTCCGTTATGCGTGCCGTGAAGGTTCTCTGTACATTTTCTAGGTCAGCAATTTCACCTGCCTTGAAAGGTGCTGTTAGTGTGCAGCAATATTCCAGCCTAGATAGAACAAGTGACCTGAAGAGTGTCATCATGGGAAGGTTCTCATTATCCATCCTGTCATTTTTCTAGCAGATGCGATTGATACAATGTTATGGTCCTTGAAGATGAGATCCTCCGACATGATCACTCCCAGGTCTTTGACGTTGGTGTTTCGCTCTATTTTGTGGTCAGAATTTGTTTTGTACTCTGATGAAGATTTAATTTCCTCGTGTTTACCATATCTGAGTAATTGAAATTTCTCATCGTTGAACTTCATATTGTTTTCTGCAGCCCACTGAAAGATTTGGTTGATGTCCGCCTGGAGCCTTGCAGTGTCTGCAATGGAAGACACTGTCATGCAGATTCGGGTGTCATCTGCAAAGGAAGACACAGTGCTGTGGCTGACATCCTTGTCTATGTCGGATATGAGGATGAGGAACAAGATGGGAGCGAGTACTGTGCCTTGTGGAACAGAGCTTTTCACCGTAGCTGCCTCGGACTTTACTCTGTTGACGACTACTCTCTGTGTTCTGTTAGTGAGGAAATTATAGATCCATCGACCGGCTTTTCCTGTTATTCCTTTAGCACGCATTTTGTGCGCTATTACGCCATGGTCACACTTGTCGAAGGCTTTTGCAAAGTCTGTATATATTACATCTGCATTCTTTTTGTCTTCTAGTGCATCTAGGACCTTGTCATAGTGATCCAATAGTTGAGACAGACAGGAGTGACCTGTTCTAAACCCATGTTGCCCTGGGTTGTGTAACTGATGGGTTTCTAGATGGGTGGTGATCTTGCTTCTTAGGACCCTTTCAAAGATTTTTATGATATGGGATGTTAATGCTATCGGTCTGTAGTTCTTTGCTGTTGCTTTACTGCCCCCTTTGTGGAGTGGGGCTATGTCTGTTGTTTTTAGTAACTGTGGGACAACCCCCGTGTCCATGCTCCCTCTCCATAGGATGGAAAAGGCTCGTGATAGGGGCTTCTTGCAGTTCTTGATGAACACGGAGTTCCATGAGTCTGGCCCTGGGGCAGAGTGCATGGGCATGTCATTTATCGCCTGTTCGAAGTCATTTGGCGTCAGGATAACATCGGATAGGCTTGTGTTAACCAAATTCTGTGGCTCTCTCATAAAAAATTTATTTTGATCTTCAACTCTCAGTCTGGTTAGCGGCTTGCTAAAAACTGAGTCATATTGGGACTTGAGTAGCTCACTCATTTCCTTGCTGTCATCTGTGTAGGACCCATCTTGTTTAAGTAGGGGCCCAATACTGGACGTTGTTCTCGACTTTGATTTGGCATAGGAGAAGAAATACTTTGGATTTCTTTCGATTTCATTTATGGCTTTTAGTTCTTCCTGCGATTCCTGACTCCTATAAGATTCCTTTAGCTTAAGTTCGATGCTTGCTATTTCTCTGACCAGTGTCTCCCTACGCATTTCAGGTATATTGACCTCTTTTAGCCGCTCTGTTATTCTTTTCCGTCGCCTGTAAAGGGAGCGCCTGTCTCTTTCTATTTTACATCTACTCCTCCTTTTTCTTAGAGGAATAAGCCTTGTGCATACATCTAGTGCCACCATAAGTTGGGGTCTGTGTTGCTTAGTATATCTTCCCAGCTTATATCAGTTAGGACTTGGTTTACTTGGTCCCACTTTATGTTTTTGTTATTGAAGTTGAATTTGGTGAATGCTCCCTCGTGACTAATCTCATTATGTCGGTCTGGGGCTCCACGCATACATGTCTGAACCTCAATTATATTGTGATCTGAGTATATTGTTTTTGATATGGTGACATTTCTAATCAGATCATCACTGTTAGTGAAGATGAGGTCTAGTGTATTCTCCAGTCTAGTAGGCTCTATTATTTGCTGGTTTAAATTGAATTTTGTGCAGAGATTTAAAAGCTCGTGTGAGTGTGAGTTTTCATCAGAGCTGCCTCCTGGTGTTATTACTGCAACAATATTATTTTCTATATTCTTCCATTTTAGATGCCTTAAGTTGAAATCCCCCAGGAGCAAGATGTTGGGTGCAGGAGCTGGAAGATTTTCCAGACAGTGGTCAATTTTTAACAGCTGTTCCTGGAATTGCTGGGATGTTGCATCCGGAGGCTTGTAGACTACCACAATGACTAGGTTTTGGTTCTCGACCTTTACTGCTAAAACTTCCACTACATCATTTGAGGCATTAAGAAGTTCTGTGCAAACAAGTGACTCGGCAATGTACAGGCCAACCCCCCCCCTTTTGCCTGTTCACTCTGTCACATCTGTATAGGTTGTAACCTGGGATCCATATTTCATTGTCCAAGTGATCCTTTATGTGGGTCTCAGTGAAAGCCGCGAACATTGCCTTTGCCTCTGCAAGCAGTCCACGGATGAAAGGTATTTTGTTGTTTGTTGCTGGCTTTAGACCCTGCATATTTGCAAAGAAGAATGTCATCGGACTGGTGGTATTGTTGGTACTGGGCGGGATTTTTTTTCTGGCATTAGTATCTGTATCTGTTGGTTTGGAGTGGAGGCCATCGACTGTGGTTCCACTCCAGGAATGACTGGATTTGGTGTACAATTTCTGCCATTTCCTGCCAGTTTTTTTTCCTTCCTGGCACTAAAAAACCTCTCCCTCTTGAGTGGCTGTGGCTACCCAGGTTTTCCCATGGCCTGGATGTTTTGTATCTTTTTGTCCCTTTTAGATGGTGTGCCTGGCAATTTAAGTTATAACACAGTCTTTCCTGTACTGAAGAGGTACACATTTCAGGGTGAAAAAGCTTACAGGAAGGGAGTTTGCATTTTCCTGTTGTCATCTGGGCACGGCATTTTCTAGGGTGGTCATAGTTGCACGTCCCGTCTGTTTTACCAGATTTCCCATGTCCGCAGATACCAAGTGCATAGTATGTGCACAGGCTTGGTTTCCGTTTGCCTTGGGTTTCTGTGACTGTAATCCCTGTTGGTGCATGTTTCCTTGTCTTATTCCTATCCTCCCTAGCACCAACAATGGAGCTCCCACCAGTTGTTTTTGGTAATATATCCTCACTATTGCTAGTGGAGTCCTCTTGTTTGCTATTTCCTGTGGTATTTCTAGTTTGCAATATTGGTTTTATCTTATCTTTGACTACACTTGTTTCCCCACTACTCCCCACTCCTGTCCCCTATGAGGTCATTTATATGTATTCCTTCCTGCGTATAATTCCCGACTACCTGGACAAAATCTCCAGCTTCACCATTACTGTCTCCCAGGACAGCACCTCCAGCTTCACCATTACTGTCTCCCAGGACAGCACCTCCAGCTTCACCATTACTGTCTCCCAGGACAGCACCTCCAGCTTCACCATTACTGTCTCCCAGGACAGCACTATCAGCCCCACATTTACTGACTACCAGGACATCACCTCCAGCCTTACAGTTTCTGACTACATGGCCAGTATCAAGGTCAGTACCATTCAGCCCAGACTTTTTATGTTCCCATCTGTTGTAGAAAGCTCCCAGGTTTTCTATGAAAGCAGCTTTGATGTTATCCTCTTTTAATACCCTTGTGATTTTAGTCCACAGATTTATCTCATTTGGGTATACCCAAAAACAGAGCTTCATAATGATTTGAATGGTTGATTTACTGTAATTCTACTAGCAACCTCTTGAATACTCTATTAATAACCTCCTTAAATGAAGCTCTAGCTATCTGTATTTCTATTTCTAACTGTACTTGTATATTGGACAGCTTACCGGAGTACGCTCCTGATTTATATTTATTGTTTGTGTTTGATAAGGGCGCTTACAACCCCATCCGTTTACAGTCTGCTTTATTGTCCAACGAAACCGTTTGACACCAGTCAAGGGTTCGGACCAGTCAAGAGTTCGGACCAGTCGAGGGTTCGGATCAGTCGAGGGTTCGGAACCAGTCTGATCTGATCAGTGGGTCACTTATTTAAAACATACTGGTCGGTGATTTGGGCTAACACATGAAGGATCTACTGGAAATTATCTACCCGAGTAATATGTGATTTGATTGATACAAAAGTATAACTTGCGTGTTGAAGAACCAGTGATTGCTGGCAGCTCCTACAGTGACGAACGGCCGAGCCTCAACCCTTGTTTATCAATCACTGTATCTAGCTTTTCTAGGTTTATTTTCGTCTCCACCACAATAAATGCTATATTATCATTATAGTTGACTGGTGGAAATTTTGGAGGAAGGATGCTTTTTCTGTAGTAATAATTGCTTCTTGTTGTGTATATTGCGACCGCTGGTAACTACAGGTTATATGAAATTCACAGTATACATCTGGTATTTCAAGAAAAAAGAAACTAACGACATACAAAATACTGCATTGAATAAACAAGGTGGACAGAGACAAGATGTTCCAGAGAGGAGACACAGAAACAAGGGATCACAATTGGAAGGTGAAGACTCAGACAAGTAACAGGGCTGTTAGGAAGTACTTCTTCAGTCACAGAGTCATCAGGAAGTGGAATAGCCTAGCAAGTGATTTAGTGGAGGCAGGAACCATACATAGCTTTAAGACAAGTTATGACGAAGCTCAGGAAGCAGAGAGAGAGAGAACCTAGTAGCGATCGGTGAAGAGGCAGGGCCAGAAGCTGAGTCTCGACCCCTGCAACCACAATTAGGTGAGTACAATTAGGGGAGTACAAGAACACCAGAAGAAATGAGGATATTACTAAGAACATTTAAAACAAGGAAGAGAGCATTTGCAGACAGGCTCATAGCAGTTTGGTCATTTCATGGATGACCTACAATATTTGATGAAGAATTAGAAAAGGGTTAAATTTTAAAGTCAAGAGGTGACCCATTAACAACAGGAGAGGCTGTAATGAGTGTACTGTGTGTGTATTTTACTTTTATTGTTTTTAATGCCTAGTTCTATTGCAAACTTAATATATGTTAGTGTAAATTTGTTATGTGGCATTTATATGCATTTATAAGTGAAAAAATGGCATTCTGCTTTCTGGTGGAAAGCTGGAACCTAACCTGCCATATAAGTGGGGCCCTACTGTAATTAAATCTCAAGTCTGAAATTCACTTGCATTATATTACCTTTATTTTTTATTATATAGTATAAAATACAGAAATATAATTAAATGTAAAGTCTGAAATTTCCTTGCATCACCTAGACTGAAATGATTAATGCAAATGCATTTTTAAACCCTCATAACACTTAGAATCAATCTTACAAAAAAAATCAGTATTCCAATACAGTATTCCAGCCCTTGTCCTAGATAAATACTGTAATTATTAAAACTTTATAAATGGTAAAGAAACTAATGTAAAGTTACTAATTCTATAAACTAAAATACAATACAATGGCACATTTCTTGCTAAAATTAATATAAATGTATCTTTGTATTAACAATTCATTGCATATACAGTATATGCTTGTTTCAGTAAGGAAAACTGCTTTTTATAGATTATAAAATTATGCTTTGCTTAATGGTACTGTGCCTTTCAAATTACTTTTGCATAGTACCACATTTTCTACTTGACATTTGATCAGTCAAACTGTTTGTTTGGAGCTCATATAGTACATATTTTGGTACTTACTGTATTTTCCAGAACAAATGGCATGCTTCCTCCCCACACACACAAATAAAATGTCTCACAAAATCACTCTACACCTTATCTGTTCACGGTCAAGAACAAGGCTAGACTTTGAGTTACTGGCAAGTGGTGATTTCAGTTCTGAGGAGCCGGGAAACTTATCTCTAAACACACCTCTACAAAACTGTTTCTCAGATTAATTGAAAATGATTAGAAACCATTATAAATTATACAATAATTTATATATTACCTATACCATCTACAAAAACCAAGTAGCAATAATTGTTTTGGTGTTTAGTGGCAATGGAGCAGATGTCCCGAGTATGTGTCCCATAGCTCAATTGCTAGCAAACTCAGCTCAGAAGCTGAGGTCCAGGGGTCACGCCCCGGTATGGTTGGAAACATTAGGATGTGTTTCCTTAAGATATCTACTGTCCAATGTTCGCCCATTAGTAAAGTGGGTACCTAGGTGTTAGTAGACTGGTGTGGGTCACATCCTGGGACAAAGTTGATCTAATTTGCCTGAAATGCTCTGCAGTAAGTAAGTTTATTCAGGTATACACAAATACAGTTACACAGATTATCATACATAGCAGCATATGTGTAGAGAACTTAGGATAACCCAAAAAAGTCAGACCGAGTGACTTATTTCCATTGGGGTCCTTTACTTATTTCTATAACAAGGGGCTTTCTATATAGTAGTATGACAATAATGTTAGCTAGGCCTGTATACCTTATACATGTACTTGTAAAAATAAAGATTATGATTATTATTATTATTATTATTATGACGGGCTACGCAAGCTTGTTGGAGTAAAACAGATTTTCTCCATAAAACTGATTAACTTACATTCAGTTATACAGCAGCACGTATGTTTGTACGTGCTGCTGTATAACTGAATGTTCTAAAAATTTTATCTTGAATATTCTGATACTTACCTTACCCCTCTGATGATATCACCATTTGCACTGCCATAACTGCTATACATTATTTGTTTATGCCAGTGGTAATGGTGCCTAGTGTTAGTGATGATGCTGACCAGCATCTACCTACTGTTCACCTTCAACTCATTAGGCCTAACTAGTACTGCATTTTTATTTTTTTCCCAGAATATGCTTGCCAAAATTGGGGTGTGCCTTATGTGCTCGTGCACCTCATTTTATTTATGAAAATATTAACTGTACATGGATGTGTTTATGTTTATTGTCATTATTAATGCTACCATAAATTATATTTTATAAAATCTTTCATGGCTAGAGGCAGTAGACATGTCACATTTGAGAGCAATGTGAGGTGTGAATAACATCCAGAGAATTTGAAGCATAGAAATTAAAAGAATGTGAGGTCACTAAGGGTATGTAATTCAAAGAGCTGAGAAGGGGTTGTTGTAGTGGTTTGTGCATGTAGAGAGGATGGAGAGGGATAAGATGATGAAGAGGGTGTATAAATCTGGAATGCAAGGTGGGAGGATTATGTTCATAAATACACCTAAATAAACAAACTAAAATTCTGTTCATCAGAATAAAAGATGTATAATAAATGCTTTGATAGAGTATACATATATAGTATACCATTTTATACAGAAATTATGATATTATTCAATAAACATAACTATATCAATATTTACCTGAAATTCTGAACAATATATTATAATTTAACAAGTAATTGAACAATAATTATGTCTGGGTGTTGCATACACCTGCAACATCCAGACATTCAATCAACAAAATACTGTAAGCCTACAATGAACATTAATTAACTGATATTCCTTCAATTTATTAACTTGTCCTTTAATGGAATTACAGTAAATATAATCACTGCATTTCATGAAATGATACACAAATAACCTGTACATAGGAGAGGGGAACTTACGACAATGTTTCGGTTCAACTTGGACCATTTACAAAGTCATACTAACAGAAAGGCGAGAAGGAGGGAGTACAGTGGACCCCCGCATAACGATTACCTCCGAATGCGACCAATTATGTAAGTGTATTTATGTAAGTGCGTTTGTACGTGTATGTTTGGGGGTTTGAAATGGACTAATCTACTTCACAATATTTCTTATGGGAACAAATTCGGTCAGTACTGGCACCTGAACATACTTCTGGAGTGAAAAAATATTGTTAACCGGGGGTCCACTGTATATATAGGCCAGCAGATAGGGAAGTGACAAGAGAGGTAGTAGGAAAGTAAGAAGAGAGGTAGTGGTAGAGGTTGTAGCTGTGGAGTCGGTCGAAAACAAAGAAATAGGAGCACTGCAAGGGAGCTAGGAGGCCACAAAGAATACGAACAAAAATACAGAGGGGAAAAATATAATAATGGACCAAACACCCATGGCAGAAGAAAGAAAGCCCAAAGGAGAAAGAGGAAGAGGAAAGGGGAAGAGAGAGAAGGAGAGAAAAGAATCAGGTTAAGACTAACATTCTTCGCACCAATTGAGTTCATACCTCTCCTCTCTCTAGATGCTCCTGGTGTCTACTCTATTTCCTGTTCCTCTTGTCCTCTTCAGTACTTTGGAAAAACTGGCCGTTCTCTTTCTGACAGACTCAGGGAGCATAAAAGTGGTGTTAGGCTTGCCGACACCAACAATGCTCTTTTCTGTCATGTCAGATATCACAGTCATCCTATTGACTGGTCTTCTGCTAAAACTGTCTACCATATTTCTAACTTTCACAGTCACAGTCTGGTTGAATCCTCCCTTATATACAACTTTCCTTGTATGCTTAGTCCTGGCTTTGTCTCTGTAGATGCCTTCCTTTCCCATAACATGATAAAATGCTTCAAACTTCAGAACACCTGTGACTTACCCTGATTATTTTTTCTCATTCTCCCTCTTCCCCTTTCCTCTTCCTCTTTCTCCTTTGGGTTTTATTTCTTGTGCCTTGGGTGTTTAGTCCATTATTGTATTTTTTCCCCCCTCTGTTTCTGTTCCTACCCTTTGTGGGTCCTTAGCCCCTTAGCAGTACTCACCTAGTAACTGAGCTAACCCACTGAGCTAACCAAGGCAGCTCCTCTTTCTTTGTCTTCAACTGACTCTACTACTACTACCTCAACCACTACCTTTCTTCTTACTTTCCTACTACCTCTCTTGTTCCATCCCTATCTGTTGGCCTATATGTACTCATTCCTTCTCTCCTTTGTTAGTGTGACTTTGTAAATGGTTTAAGTCAGACCGAAATGTCGTAGTAAGCTCCCCTTTCCTATGTGCAGGTTATCTGTGTATTGTTCCAGTCATGGTATTGTGCCTTTTTGTTATTTATTTTTCATAAAATGAATTACCCAGCTAATATAAATTCACCATAAAAAAGAGTTCGACAAACTGGCCATATCCCACTGAGGCAGGGTGATATAAGAAGAAAAACATATGTTTCTTTTTGCAGTTTAGTAATTTATACAGGAGAAGGGGTTACTAGCCCCTTCCTTCTGGCATTTTAGTTGCCTCTTACGACACGCATGGCTTATGGAGGAAGAATTCTGTTCCACTTCCCCATGGAGATAAGAAGAAATAAAGAAGAACAAGAACTATTAAGAAAATAGAAGAAAACCCAGATGGGTATGTACATATACAGTGGACCCCCGCTTAACGATCACCTCCAAATGCGACCAATTATGTAAGTGTATTTATGTAAGTGCGTTTGTACGTGTATGTTTGGGGGTCTGAAATGGACTAATCTACTTCACAATATTCCTTATGGGAAAAAATTCGGTCAGTACTGGCACCTGAACATACTACTGGAATGAAAAAAGTTCGTTAACCGGGGGTCCACTGTACAGTGGTACCCTGAGTTTTGTACAGCTCCCAATTCGAACAATTGTGTAAGTGTATTATTGTAAGTGCTTTTGTAAGTGTATTTTTGGGGGTCTGAAACGGACTAATCTAATTTACATTATTCCTAATGGGAACAAATTCGTTCGGTAACAGCACTCAAACAGCCTTCTGGAACGAATTAAACCTGAAACTCGGGGTACCACACTGTATATGCATGTACATACATGTGTAGAGTGACCTAAGTGTAAGTAGAAGTAACAAGATATGCCTGTTTTCATGCATGTTTATAAGACAGAAAAAAAAAAACCAGCAATCCTACCATCATGTACAATAATTACATGTTTCTTCTGCACTATAAATACAGACTACATTTATGCTAAAAATTTTCAAATTATAACAAGCAAAATCATGGATGGCATTGAAAAAAAGAGCTAATCTAACCATGGCAGTATACAGTTCTTAATGACAGATATATTGTGATGCCAATCTGTATGATACACTCCTTCAACTTCATACAATTTAATCTTCCCAGCTTTATCCAGAGTACGTAGGCCAAACAAATCATTTTGATAAAAAAGTTGATCTCTCATCTCTGTCACATTTTCTTCTTTATCAAAATATCCGAAATGACTGAAAATAATACACACTTGGCATTAAATTAAACAAGTATTAGCATTGGTATAAACAAGCTATTAAAATTTAAGTATCAGCATGGGTATAATGAGCATTCAAAATCTTTTTCTCACCTGGATTGCCACGGGGTAATAACCCCATCATCTGGTCCACCAATTAAAACAAGTTTCTCAAGTTTCATGAAATTCTGACGGTAATCCTTTTTGTAGGTATCATTTAACTCATTGTTGAGGTAAGGCAAATAGTTTGAATATCTGTCAAAAAATTGTCTGCATGAGCTCAGGAATAAACAAAGCAGTAAGTAGAAAGAGTTTAATGAAATGGATATCAAGTAACAGAGACAATATATACATCAGTTCCACTCAAGTGTGTAGATGGCTGAAACATATCATATCTTGAAATGGGAAAAAACATGGCAATATGGAGTGAAGAGTTGATAAACATGTGAAATGCTACTAGCAACTTTAAATAAAACAATATGCACTTACTTATAATAAAGTGTTTGATGGTGAGGATCATTCCAATAGTTAGCCACAGATATTCTCTGGCCAACCCTTGAATAGAACACTTCATAAGCTGTCTCCTTTACGTATTGAGGGAAGATAAGTTTCAGAAAGTCATCTGAAATGAAAATTACAGTCAGTAACATTCTTCATTTAATTTTGATAATCTAATTAATTTAATATTTTAAACTATATATCAAATTGGTTTACCCTGTGCATATTATGCCTTGTAATAAATTCAGTATTCATACATCAGGAACTGCTCAGTTTGACACCTGGCATCCAAATTAGTGAAAATTCCTTAACTGTTCCCTATTCATTTTATTGCTGAAATTCAAGCTTTGCTCAACCAAATTACACAAACTTACCATATACATGTACCATATTTTGTGTCCGGATAACCTCAATGCAGTGCAGTATTTACTAGTTACTTATAGTAACAGGTTCTTAGTTATACTCAACTTTCATGATGTTCCCTACATTATGCCTCATCTCACATGCCTACACAGCTGACTCCAATTTGTTTATATTCCTAGAAAAATACATAAAATTACCGACTTAAATCTCTTTCAACTTTTAAACCACCCCAACCTGCCCTTGATATTTTTCTTGCATATTGTATCACAATTTTTTTATCACAATTCAAAACTAAGTACCTTTATGAAGGTTAATCATAACCCAAAATTCTTGTAACTTAAGGGACCACTGTATAAGACAAGGTTGATGCAGTTCAGTAGTGTACTTTATATAAAAACTCAGGTACTGTTTATTACGTGACACATGTCAGTGAGCTGCTTAATGAGTCATGTAGTACAGTACAATAAAAAGAAATATAGTGACTGAATTGCTAACCTCCATATTGGCCAGCCTGGGGTGATGATAAAGATATAAAGGTAGTAATATTATGTTCCATGGACTCTATAATTCCACGGCTGATAATGCCTCCCTGGGAGTAGCCTGAAAAAAAAAAAAAACAGTTAGTATCATCTAACAGCACTTACATCCCAATCCCACCCATAATTGCTTCTACATATATGTGATTAATGATGTTACACTATACATACTTACTTAACTTTCACCTGTATTATTCACTTTTTACCAAAACATTGCCAGACTTCATAAATTGCAAAGGTTAGTGGATGAGTTTGAGAATGTGTGTAAAGGTAGAAAGTTGAAAGTGAACATAGAAAAGAGTAAGGTGATGAGGGTATCAAATGATTTAGATAAAGAAAAATTGGATATCAAATTGGGGAGGAGGAGTATGGAAGAAGTGAATGTTTTCAGATACTTGGGAGTTGACGTGTCGGTGGATGGATTTATGAAGGATGAGGTTAATCATAGAATTGATGAGGGAAAAAAGGTGAGTGGTGCGTTGAGGTATATGTGGAGTCAAAAAACGTTATCTATGGAGGCAAAGAAGGGAATGTATGAAAGTATAGTAGTACCACACTCTTATATGGATGTGAAGCTTGGGTGGTAAATGCAGCAGCGAGGAGACGGTTGGAGGCAGTGGAGATGTCCTGTCTAAGGCAATGTGTGGTGTAAATATTATGCAGAAATTCGGAGTGTGGAAATTAGGAGAAGGTGTGGAGTTAATAAAAGCATTAGTCAGAGGGCAGAAGAGGGGTTGTTGAGGTGGTTTGGTCATTTAGAGAGAATGGATCAAAGTAGAATGACATGGAAGCATATAAATCTATAGGGGAAGGAAAGAGGGGTGGGTGTCGTCCTCGAAAGGGTTGGAAAGAGGGGGTAAAGGAGGTTTTGTGGGTGAGGGGCTTGGACTTCCAGCAAGCGTGCATGAGCGTGTTAGATAGGAGTGAATGGAGACGAATGATACTTGGGACCTGACGATCTGTTGGAGTGTGAGCAGGGTAATATTTAGTGAAGGGATTCAGGGAAACCGGTTATTTTCATATAGTCGGACTTGAGTCCTGGAAATGGGAAGTACAATGCCTGCACTTTAAAGGAGGGGTTTGGGATATTGGCAGTTTGGAGGGATATGTTGTGTATCTCTATACGTATATGCTTCTAAACTGTTGTATTCTGAGCACCTCTGCAAAAGCAGTGATAATGTGTGTGTGTGGTGAAAGTGTTGAATGATGATGAAAGTATTTTCTTTTTGGTGATTTTCTTTCTTTTTTTTGGGGGTCACCCTGCCTCAGTGGGAGACGACCGACTTGTTGAAAAAAAAAAAAAAAAAATGTTATTATTGGCAGTTTGGAGGGATATGTTGTGTATCTTTATACGTATATGCTTCTAAACTTCTGTGTTCTGAGCACCTCTGCAAAAACAGTGATTATGTGTGAGTGAGGTGAAAGTGTTGAATGATGATGAAAGTATTTTCTTTTTGGGTCACCCTGCCTCGGTGGGAGACGGCCGACTTGCTTAAAAAAAAAAAAAAAGGTATTAAACTGTTAAACATCATGCATTTTAAATGCTAACTAATATCTGTGAGATGATGATAAACCTAAAGTTGTGCAACAATACAGTATTTTAAGACTATCATATTTAATGCAAGAAAGTGAACAGGATAAATGTTACATAATATCTTACCTATTAGTATAATACCATCTTGAGAAGTGTTCATAATAGGCTGCATTTGAGAGTAGAAACTTTTCACTTGGTACCATAGGGGTGCCAGGGATTTCCATCCATGAAGCATGTCAATAATGTGAACTTCTGTGCCAGGGTGATGCTGAAATGAAAAACATGAGGAACTGTAATGATATCCTATATTAAGTCATTATAAAATAAGGTAGTATACCCTTTTGTATATTAATAACGTCTATAAGCAATATGTAATAAGATTCAGTTCTGAATGTAAATTATTTACCTGTACTCTTGAATACCCTCTTCAAGGGGGGCTCCTTGGCGTGGTGAAGAGGCTCTTGGTCTGAGGAATTAGACCTATCGGTCTTCTTCTCAGACCGAACTATTACCCCCCCAATTCCCTACCCTTAGCATCTCCTTCCCATCCTCCCCTTTTTTACTTTCCTCCTCCTCTCCCCACTCCTCCCTTTTGCCCTTCCTCTTTTTGTCCTTTGGGATTTCTCCCACAGGCGCGCTAGTTCTAGGTGGGGGAAAGGACTCCGGGGAGTCCATTCCCATTCCGTTGTGGTTCTTGGCGGGTGGCGTTAGTTTGCCGTGGATTCTGGATTGCCTAGGGATGTTCCCGATCCCTCTTCCGGTATCCCGGGTTGCTGTGGGTGTCTTTTGGGCGACGGGTGGTATCTCTGGAAGCCAACTTTCGGATTCGGGGGTGGTGGCTGAAGGAGGTAATGCGTTGTGGCGGATATGCCGGCCGCCCTCTCTTTTGTCCACCGAGTAGCTCGGGCAGATGTGAGGTTGCTATCCCAGATTGCTGGTTTACTGGCATGAAGGGGTAGGGTTATGGCACGGGTTCCATGCTGCATCTGCGCTACTAGCGGGGGTCGAGTCCTCTTTGGGCGCGGAGGGAGATTTCTGGCCCTTTCATTCCTCCTAGGAACTATCCTCCCGGTCCCCCCTTTTTTTTCTTTTTTTTTATTTTTATTTTCTTTTCTTCTTTCTTTTTTTTTCTTAAAAAACAAAAAGAAAGAAGTAACCAAAACCATGGCGCCCTAGTCCATGAACGGGTTTACCCCCCGGGCCCTTCTTGATACCGCACCCCGTTTGACCCGCCTGTCTTTGGACCACTTTCAGACATTCCTCATGCCTCTGTACCCTATGCCTTGCTGTTTCCTCACCCGCTTCAGGTATGAGGCCTCGACTGACTCCTTCGATTTATCAGCCTTCGCTCTCCTCTGACTATGCTTCCGGCCTCTCCCTCTACGGTGCGGCAATTTTCAAATCGCCGCCCCGTTCCACGTCGGACCAACTCTGGTCCCACGACCCTAAACGTAAACGACAATTACCTGCTGATGATACTTCCCCACCTTCACCCTTCCGTTCTTCTCAGAAACGATGGGACACGTTTCCCTTTACTACCCTTTTCCACGCTCAGTTTCAAGACTGAACAGTGGACTAAATTCTTCACTTTACGACCAACTTCCTCTACTGCCTATCTTTTGACCATAGTATTGGCAAGGCACTCCCACGCCATGTTGGTAAAGATATTTCTTTTCATGCTCTTAAGAGCGGTACGCGCTTTATTACCGTACAGAATGCTACCAGGCTGTGAGCTCTCTCGTCTTTCCCATATAGATATGTTCCTGTCACCCTTGGAAAACATCATTCCCTCAATTCTTGTAGTGGTACCCTTATTCTGCCCCATACCCTAGTTCAACAAAAATTTCCAGACATGTGGCACCGACATTCTAGAACAGCTGAACTCCAAGATCTCCCAATCCTCAAGGTAGACACTTACGTTTTTCCTGCCCGTGGGCGGAGACGTTTCCTAGCAATGTGGCTCGTTTAACTTTTGACGCCGAGAACTCCCATCCTAGTTTATTATAGCAGGACATCGGTTTCAAGTTGAAAGGTGATTCCCACACCAAAACAGTTGTAGAAATTGCTGGCGATTTGGCCATCCAGCGAAATTTGCAGATCTATCGCCGAATGCCCAGTCTGTGGTGCCGATGACCATTCTAATACTCTTGCAATCGATCACCCTCTTGCCTTAACTGTCATGAGGCCTCACCTTCGACTCTCTCTCGCCGTTGTCAGGAGGTCTATTTAAACGAGCGGAAATCCGTTACAACCTCAAAGAGAGACAGAAGTGTCTCCCTTATGCATGGCAGTTTTCTCATCTCCCGCCTCCAAAGGAGACTCCCACTGTTTCTTATTCCCGTGTTCAAACGTCCCCCACTTCTGTATCCCCGGGGCATCTCTTCTACAACCCAACCTCTGTGGTTACCTCTCCATAATCACTCGCTCCTGTATCTAATCCTTTTGCTGTCCTCGCTCAGACGGGTAGTCCCTACTTCAACGCCTCAGTCCTAATCTCGTCTTCTTCGAGTACTCTCTTACAAAGCCACAGTATCGACGAGGGCCTCGTACACCCTCTTCCTCAATCGTCCTCCTACTTCTCTAAAAGTCAAAAAAAGTCTGCGTAACACCTCCCTAACCATCTTCCACCTCTCATTTTTCCCTCCCTGTCCTCTGTCTCGCTAGTTCTTCCTCCCCTCACTGGGCTCAGTTACAAGTGCAGAGTTCACACTCCTCCTCGTAATGTACCTTCCTCCCCTGTATCCCTTCCAAGTTTCTCTCTCTGCCACCCCCAGGTTCTGTCTCTCTTCCCCGTGCACGCTTCTCCGTTCCTCCACCCTTTCCCCCCTCCCCTACCTTGGTAACAGTCCAATACATTCCAATCTTTACTCATCCTGCCCCCTACCATTTCCCAATATTGTCTCCCATACGACATCATCTGAATCCGAAACACAGGGGGGTAAGGCAATCTCTGAATATATTGGCAGAGACCAAAACATCAATGACACTGATCCACCTCTCGCTTCTTTCTCTCTCCTCTGCTCCATCTGCGCAAAACTCCTTCTTCAACAGCGTCACCGTTCCTTCGCTTGCTTGAAACATTTTCCACTGCTCCCACTGTGATCTATTTTCTAACCGCTTCATAGTCCGTAGGAATACGCCTGTACCTGCGATTTCAAGTAACTCTATCATTGCAATCATGGCCTTTTTACAGTAGGGAATATACGACGGCCGCTCAGGGTAATCGGGGTGAGCTTCAGATTTACTCTCCCAGTTTGCCACCTGTTTGGTGTTTTGCTTACAAGACCAAAATTACAACTTTGCTGTTTATTTCGCACATCTCAGCTATAATTTATTGTATTACTTCAGATCCTTTCTGATGGGACCTTTAAATGAAAGTGCCACATTCTTTCTCCCGCACTATATATTCCGTACCATTCACAAGTTGTTCATTACTTCGCTGCATACACAGCAGACCTCTCGTATCCACTTACATAGGTGGTATACGCTCTGTTCTTTATATCTCTCTTCTCCCTCTCGGGCATTATCTATTCCGATTTTGCCTTCCTTGTGTCGTGCATTACGCCACTCGATTCTTACTGTGATTTTTAATGCCCACCCATTTCCTCTGGGAAGGGTCACACTGTGATTACCGAGGATATTCAGTTAGAGGCTTTTCCCTTGCCAACCCACCCCCTCCATGTTTTAAATACAGGTACTCGCACACCCATTTTTGATTTCCGGGACTCATACTTCTCTCTTGCATCGATCTCATCATTTGCCTCTTCCTCACGCCATTAGACTTTACTTGGTCTGTTCTCCATTCTCACCGGACCTTACATGAGCAGTGATCATTCCAATCATTCCTTACTTCGCCTTCATATTCGCGCACCACCTCGCCACCCCCACACGCTGGCAATGTAATCGGGCAAATGGAATCTTTAACTCACACCTGACTGGTTTTTAAAGAGGTCTCTCGTCTTCCAATCGATGAGCTTTTAACAACCTCTTCTCGTCTCTCTGTTTTCACATCCTGCGAGCTTCTTCTCATTCTATACCCCAAACTCGGCAGGCATTCTCAGAAAATGCTGCCTTGGTGGTCTCCTGCTTGTGGCTCGTGCAGTACAGTTTGAACGCGCTGCATGGGCAGGTTACCTGGTACAATAGAAAGCCACAAAGAGCGACTCCTGATTTTAAACAGAAGCGTGCGATCGCTCGCCGTGTCATCCGTGACGCTAAAAAAACGCACTTGCTGGCGAGATATGTCCCACCATCACCTCTGCTTACTCTATGAGTGCAGTCTGGAAAAAAGTACAAAACTGAGTGGTAAATATTTCCTGACACCGAGCTCCTGTTCTGCGGGCTGCCGGAGTTGATATGCAAACCATCTAGATGTTGCCATGAAATTGCAATCATCTGGTCCGTATTTCTCAGGGACTCCATCTATGGCCACCTTCATTTCTTTCCTCAAAGTCTGCCAGAAGTTAGCACCCATGGACTTTCCTTCACTCAGAGAAGAACAGTAATAAGTGCCTTTTAACACTTCAAGAACTGGAGGCAACTCTCTCACAGCTTGTCGATCTATCGGTACTGGCCCGACGACATTCATATTCGTGTATGCTACAAATTTACATCAGTCACCCTTGCCGTCGCTATTAGCCTTTACAATCTATTGGTCACAAGGATTCTTCCACAGCTGTGGAAATCGCCCATGTTTCTTCCCTTTCCGCAACCAGGCACTACGGGACATGAAAACCTCCACTATCTCTCATTGCTCTTTACAGTGCAGTTTGCAAAGTAATGGAACGTCTAAGTAAATAGACGTTAGAGTGTGGTATTTAAGAGACACACAACAGTCTCCATCCAACTCTCAATAATGGCTTATCAGTAATGGGATCGGTTCTTACCATAGACCCCTTACTGCGTCTTGAATACGTATGTTCCGTAATCCTTTGGCGAATACCACTCAGTTTTGCCATATTTTTTGACCTTGGAGAAGGCATATGACACAACTTGGAGGTATATATATTTTAAGGCTCCGAGCCCACACTCTTAGCTTCGAGGCAATCTACCCATCCTTCCTTTAAGAACTTTTTAATCTGACAAGGCATTTTTTCCGTGTTCGGTTATATAATGTGCTCTCCCCGGACTATTATCCAAGGCTTGAAGGTTCCCCCAGGGATGTGTTCCTGACACAACACATTTTCTTTCTCTCTTGCTATTAATGATGCCTCTAGTTCTTCCATCAAATATTTGGTCATCACCTAATGTGATGACTTCGCTATTGCCTGTGGCAGGACCTGACTGTACACCTCTTACAGTCTCTCCAGCATGCCAGTCGACCGTGGTTTCCAATTGGAGGCCTACCACAACATGAG